GCAAACTGTACGAGTATCAGAAATATGTGCACACTGTACGAGTATCAAAAATGTGTGCACACTGTACGAGTATCAGAAATATGTGCACCGGTAGATGTTAACCTCGGGCTAATAAAGAAGACTTTTTCTGGTCGACACACTTTATTTGCATGGCGGCATTAAACAACAAGCAAAGAAATAGACAATACAGAGGATATGTGCAATGTTGTGGAAATCTGAATGTGTTGAGCACAATTCTATCCAGAAGCAATTTGTGTTAACATGTAATGAAACTGTTTGTACCACCTTGTCACGACTGTAAGTGCTAATTATGAGTCAGTGAGGATGGTTTTACGTCTCTTTTAGCAATATTCCGGCAATATTGCAGCGTTGGACACCAGAAATGGGCTTCAAACATTGTACCCATGTCGGGATTCGAACAGGGGTCTTCGGCGTGACGAGCGAACGCTTTAACCACTAGGCTACCCGACAGACCCACTTATCATGACATTGTGCATATCAACTGTGAGCGAGTATGGTTTTACGCCGCTTTTAGCAATATTCCAGCAATATCACGGCTGGGGACTCCAGAAATGGGCTTCACACATTGTACCCATGTTGGGATTCGAACAGGGGTCTTCGGCTTGACGAGCGAACGCTTTAACCACTAGGCCTATGTAAGTGTAACAGAGCACAGTGTTACGTTTGTCTAAATATACTACGTACAGTAAAGGAACCAATTATGAGAAACAGTGTGTCATCTAAATTCAAATTCCAAGGGCATAACATCCGTGCATCCATGCCACTTCTGCCTCTTGTCATTTTCTACCATGACATTGTTGAATGCTTGATTCTGAGGGGAAACACCCTTTAAATAGGTCAAGCCTTTTCACCAAAAAATCGTGCGTATGTATACATCGATAGCCCACATATCTATCCAAGATGGCTGCCGATAACCCATCATTCGATCTCGGATCGATTACAGATGTTTTCGGTGACGATTTTGACTTGCAAGAGGTTAACCATGACTGGTTTGACGATGAGATGTTAATGGATGAGATGGGAACACCTAACGAAAGTATATCGTTTGCATACAAATTGTAACGTTTATAGGAACTGGTTCGGTAATTCTCACACTTTATGCATGACAAAATATTGTTACCAATTTTCGGAATATGTATTTACTGTCAATTAGGGCCTGGCACTGCTCCGACAGAAGCGACAGAGCCTACACTGACTAGCGAGGGAATGACGTCTGCCGCTACTAGTGACTCTCGCCACTTCGTCACTCTCGATGCTGATGAGATCGAGTCCATAGTAATGAACTCGAAGGCACAAGGCACCAATAAATACACTAGTTGGGCGATTAAGATATTCAAACGTAAGGAATAATTATATTAAATAATTATATTTAGATGTCCTACTTATGAAAAAACAAAGAAAATATGGAAATGTGACGAGTTGACATTGAATTGAATATGCACAATATTTCTTGATATTTACAATTTCAGAAATACAAATAAATTGATTATGTAACCATTGGAGTTATTACTTACCTACTTTACAAGTCCTCCGGTAACAGAATATTCATTTCTATGTCCAGAATGGCTTGCTTTGCGAGACAAATCGCCAAGTTTTGAGACCCTTTCACCTCAAGAATTAAACAACACATTGAAAGTTTTCTACGCTGAGGTCCGAAATTCCAATGGACAGTATTATTCGAAGTCTTCCTTTGTCGGCATTAGATCTGCGATTCATAGCCATCTCCCTCAACCACGGTATGAGCGTTCATTTAACATGCTGCAGGATCAAAAGTTTGTCAGTGCGAACAATGTCTTTATGGGGATGCTTCGAAAAATTAAGAAACTTGGGTTGGATGTATCTACTCACTATGAGCCTATTTCGGAGGGGGATTTAGTGAAAATCAGGTCGAAGCAATCAGTAGACAATCCAGTTAGCCTTCAAAAGAGGGTCTGGTTTTATCTGACATTAGGATTTGGCAGGCGGGGGGCTGAAAATCAACGTGAGCTCACTCGCAATTCTTTCCGTGTCGAGGTCGACGACGTAGGGTGCGAGTTTATCACTAGCACACTCAGTAAGTTGACAAAAAAAACACCGTGGCGATCTTCGTGATTCGAACGAACCAAAACCACGCATATATGCCACTGGTACCCCTTCCTGTCCCGTTGCTTCTTTCAAACAGTATGTTCCAAATTGCATCCAGAAAACACTGCTCTCTTCCAAAGACCACGAAAACACACAAACACGTCTCCTGACATTCACTGGTACACCGCACAGGCACTTGGCCACAACAGTTTGTCTCAAATGATGAAATCAATTTCAGAAGAGGTAAAGATAAGCAAAATATACACTTATCAGTGTGTCAGTGCCACAACGGTCACACTACTTTCTCATGCTGGGGTGGAATGCCCCGAAATAATGGAATTGACAGGGCACAGAAATTGTGATTCTTCTTCGGCTCAAAAAGGGGTATTCAGCCATTCTCCAGGGTGGTAGGAACATCACACCAGCAGGGAAAGTTAGTCAACATGTTAATGTTGAACAGCATCACACTGTGCATCAGTACTGGGTTGTCTTCTGGTTTCCTGCAATTCTTTAACAGCACTGTTACTGTTAACAATTTCTTTGGCAGCCATAACTGAGAGTGCAGTGCAGATCTAGTGACAACCGGGACAGGTTAGGATGGTTCTCAATTCAATAAAGTTTGTTGAGAAAATAATAATTGTTCATTTTTTAAAAACTTTTTCTGAAACCCACGAACAGGTTATTTCATTATTGAAACAACCGGCAATGAAAGTTAATTATAACATAATAAAATGTGTTTGAAGACATTTTATTCATGACAACATGGTGTTTACAAACCTTTTTCTGATCGACATCCATTGCAATCTCCGTCAACCACCACCGTTAGAATTTCGCAGGAGGGGATTTGAAAGTGCATCAGAAAACACCCCCCTTCGAAAGTCCATGAAAACAATGTCCCAACTGAAGTGACAGCTTATCAAACTTGATGAAATTCATTTCAGAACACGAACAATTATGAAATTCATACACGACCTATTATTTCTGGGACACAAATGTCTAATTTCTGGATCCGTGAAATCTTGAAATTGACAGGTTACACCATGCAGATTCCTCGTTTCAAAATATCCGGCTCGTCTGCAGCCTAAACAGCGGCTGTTCAATCATACTCAGTTCCATTAGTAATCATATGGATGTACCCGCAGGCTCGATCAATCCCAGTAAATCTACAGGTAAATGTTGAACCACATCATAGATCGGGATGGTCATCTTGCTTCTTTTAACTAGATCTAGTTAATGTAAACACATGATTGTCAGCCATTGACAGCTGGGAGGTGTGAGTAACCGTGATTTAGGTCAAGTTCTGCCACATCCAAGTTCGGGGTGGAGAGGCATTTACTTTGATGTTATTGTTGTTTACTGGGGGTAATTGCTATTGAATGTTAATTCATAAAGTTTGCTGTAGAATATATTCGTTTAGCATTTTAAAACCGTTTTCTATTACCCGTCACCCCTACAATAAAAATGATGGCATGTTCGATTTCCAAGAAATGACCTCTCTCACAAATTTCCGAGAAACGACAGCCAGTCCACAGTGTTCAACAGTGTGCAACAGTTTGATAGAAATTAAAACATCTCTCTTTGGATTAAGTTAGGAGTGTTATTTGTCAACTTCGTTTGAAAAACTATGTGTTTTGAACACTTATTATGAACAACTCACGACTTTGGTGTTTTTTAATCTTGAACTTTAGTAATAATTGTTACATATATAACTACCTGTGACCACTTTTCAGAATGTTCTAAGATCGCGGACCTGTGCACCTGTGTTATTACGCGTTGCAAGAGAGCGCCATTTTCAAAGCCTTGTTGCCGTCATGGTAGAATGGAGATAAGCCTACTGTGTTTTGAAATTTGATGTAGTCCGACTGTAGAATAGAAACCTCTTTATTATTATTTTAGCTTTAGCGCGAGGTTCCAAATTATAATAAAGAGGTTTCTATTCTACAGTGGGATTACATCAAATTTCAAAACACAGTAGGTTTATCTCCTAAATAAACCAAGACCGGCTTTCGTGTGAACATCACCCCGTATTCCCTGTCGGGACCATCTCAAATACTTGACCACATCGCTGCTCCGTGACTTTACTATTATCACTGACTTTTGCTATCACCACTGTATTTTGTATTTGATACTGACCACTTCCATGATAGTATGTATTGCCATTGGATATTGTACTACCACTCTATTGTGTTCTACGGCCATTGTTATTGCTGTGCAGTAATTTGTGTTGATTTGTGAAACCAATCAATTCTGTTAATTGTATACCATTTATTGGTTGTTTGTTGGTTTCACACTAAGTTATTGTACGTACAAATTTCTGGGTTAACATAACGTTTCAATTTGGAAGTCGACATGTAACACTTGCAAACATCATCGTCGTGTATATGTGGATCTCGGATATGCAGTGCCTCAATATATACCAACGATCGACCAGACACTATTTTTATTATCTCATTGAGACGTCACGGTTCATAATGCTAAAACTGCAAATGAATATTTTTATAGTTGTATAATAGTAGTAGGATGTACATCCACCCCTGAAGCCTGTAGCAGGGTCCCTTGTGACAGTCGACTGAAGAAGAATGGATAGTTACAATGGCCGTGGTGACCTTGTTTATTTAGGGTCATCGTGCCCCGATGGCGTGGTCATGCTGTCAACCACTAGTCCGTCTGTCCCAGGCTATGTACGTGCCGTCATGTGGTAACATGAATATTGTTTGAGTGCGGCCCAAAACGGCATTCACTCACTCACTTCAAACCTTTCACTCATTCCATCATTTTTACTCAGATGAGACAGCGGCTTTAAAATCCCACATCGATCACATGTTCTGTTTGCTTTTTGTCTTGTTTGTGATAAATAGTTTCTTTAAGTAAAACAAAATATATTTTAAACACTAAATACAAATTCTAATACAGAATGGGTTTAGTTGCTTTATTTACTATACAGTCTAAACAACAAAAGAGATCCCTTTCTTACAAATTGAAACCTATTGATGTAATGTTAAAGATTCAACCAACATATTTATGGCATTCTTCGACAGCGAATGGAAGCGTTATTACGGGAGTCAGTCGCTGTCCTCGTTGTCCTCTCTGTCCTCGTCCTATACTTTAATAACCCTATATGTGTACTTGCGAAGATCGATATCCCCTTTGTGGATGAGTATGTCACGTGTTTCGTGTTTCACAGGGGTCAAACTCGATGTTGGGAGGAAGATCTCGATGGCATAATCTACCCTCCCGATATCCATCAGGCTCTCCCAAAATCTGGGACGGTTGTCGTAGTTGTTCTTGGCCACCTCTTGTTTTGAGTAGTTGTCTGGGTCCATGGTCGTCCCATACACTCCTACAATGCAATATATACAGCTTTGGTAGAGAGAAATAGATACTGTTTGTTTACTTGTTGTTTAACACAACATTCATCAATATTCAAGCTGTACGACGGCGGATGTAAATCATTCTAGTCTGGACCTAGTAATCTAGTGATGGACATCATGAGCACCAATCTACGCAATTGGGATACGATGACATACATCAACCAAGTCAGCGAGCCTGACCACCCTTTCCCGGTAGTCGCCTCTTACGACAAGCCTGGCATGCTGAAGACTAATTCTAACCCGGATCTTCACGGGGGTCTGGTGTAGTTAATCAGCTGACCTTAAGTAAGCATATGTCACCATTTGCTTGAGTTAAGTAGAGAGAATCCATGATTTTATTCACATATCTATGGAGGTGTCTGTGAATATACGATAACTTGTAATATAACTGTCAGTCTCAACAAATGTGTCGCCTTTCACAAGAACATGATATACTACTCAAAAGAAGTTAAGGATCACCTGATTCTTTCATATTAGAATAGTTAATCTCTCATGCCATGACAGATAAACATTACCAATATGAAAGAATCGGGTGATCCTTAACTTCTTTTGAGTTGTATGTATTCATAGAAAACATTCCTTCAAAACATTGCTTACTTACTTACCTTCACCGAAGGCGACATCGTTACCCATGGGATTATGGCGACTTGCCTTGATACACATACTTTGCACAATATTGTTTTTCCCAGACTCATTAGTGTAGTGGTAAAAGACTGTATTGCTCATACCTAAGGCAAAAATAAATAAAAGTGAAAATAGTTGCATATTTTATATTGAACAATAACATGATAATTCTTACCGAAACAGTCACACATTGTAGGTACGCTAATAATGACAAGGTTAACATTTGCCTTTAATTCAATTATTTATATATTATTTATTTGTTTAGTTTTGGCCTCGATATCGAAATACAACAGTATCAGACACAACGCGATTACCAGCTCAACTGGGTGTGTCGAATTGATAGGCAAGCCAGGCTACTGTATGTTGGTAGACAGGTACCCAGTCTAACAAATCACACTCTTGATGTCCATGTGTTCTCTATACGGAAATGCAATTTAAATATCAGGCATAATTAAAGTATTAATTACAAGAGACAAAGCATATACTCTTCAGGAAATTTTACAATACAAACTCTGATATTGTTATGAATATTAGTATGTATCTGGGGACGTCGATAAAGGGCTACACGCATGCGTTCTTCACATGTGGGAAACCATACACAGGTTTTTGAAAACAAGAAAACCTTGATCTCACGCTGCTTCTCAAAATACAGTAGATACAACTAGTAACTACTTATCGAGTAATAGTAACGCTCATAGTAGCCCATCTTGAACCTCAACTGCCCCATCATCCCATTTAACACGTCCTCAGCTTCGTAATGATAATAATCTGCCTTTAATAACAATGTTAAAGTATCGAGTACACGCTTCTTTACGTATTACAGGCATTGTAAACAGGTCTTGGTGTGTGCTGTATTTAAACTTAAGCTTTGAAATTTGAGTGTATCGGGGTTTGAGGCTTACACTCTACACACTTAAGTATATATAAGGGAAGCTACTCTAACCCTAGTCTATGAGACATCACGGCCACGGTCAGACATTGTTGACAGTCTGTCCTGTCATAACGTTACGAAGTGCAATCAGATGTACACACAGCGACAAAAAGAAACAAGGTAACAATACAAACATATTTCGGCCAAATCCAATTCGTTTAATTTGTGGAAAAGGTTCCAAGCCACAGATGTCTACGAGCACAGATATGGCTACTGATCCCACTAGATCCCCTGCTAGTGCCCTCGCAAAATTGTTTCGCAATTTATGTCTCCAAAGTTGCCCAAACTTGTAAAATGCCATTCGTCACCAATCGCCCCTTTCCGTAACCTGCAAGAAGACCCCCTATCGATGAATGTTATGTGCTAAAATACGACAAACCAATCAGAATGCGCGTATGAGTTCGAGTTCTTTGTCAAATAATCCCTCAGAAATATTTTTTGGCTTTACAGAAGTCCTGCACCTAAAAAATATACCCAAGACACAGTTAAATATGTTCAATCATACTGTATAAGTCCGCTCATCCCGATGTGCATTAAATTGTATCTGAAATATATATAACATATGGGGAAATATATGTGAACCATTAAGCAACGAGTTGACAATTGTTTTAGGTATGCCCGTTTGCGCTAAGACGGAACCCAGTCGCAAAAATGGCCATGAGAGGGGCACGAGTCGATATTCGACTTGTCCCAGAATAACACGAGTTGGTCACGAATGGTAAAATGCCTTAGCTACGTCACAGTTAGACAATGATTTTCAGTATATTAGACTGTTCTTTTGATAATGAAAGCAATAATCCCAGTAGTTTCTCCAGATTCCCGATGGTTAATTTTGACTCCATCTCCGAATTGCAAGGTAGACGCCATGTTTGTTTGTAAAGAGTGAAAGTAGTCCCTACTTGACCTTTGATATTTGCATATGCGCATATGATCCCGCATATGACCCCGCAACAGATATCGTTTTTATCTGTTGGCTTTAGCCTGCCGAGAAACCTACCGATTGTATGTGTGCGTGTACTATTCGTTGCATTTGAAGACACATCTGATTTGATTGATAGGACAAAATATACTGAACAATAAAGTGAGGATCCTGAAATAGTTTTTTATACCGTACACATTTCAAGAAGCTCAGTCTTCATTGCAAAAATCAATATTCTCCCAAATATTGATGATGCCCAACTTTTTGTCTTCACAGTATATCAATTACACAGAACATGGTTCCATGGCGGCTATGCTGCTATCCTGCTGAAGGGAACTCACCGGACATTAGGTATACCAAGCTGTCTATGAAGGCAGAATAAGAGATGAGTTCGTGTATCCCGGAGGATCGTTTCAAGGGATTGTGTTGTAAGGTAATCACAGTTTATTCAAACCCATCGGGAATTCGGGCAGAGCAGGTTCCGCTTCATCCCATGATTGCCCTTAGAGCAAAATGAGGATCAGGTGGTCATCTGGCTGACTGTCGTCGTAACCCGACGGCGTGATTCGTTGCTCATGCTATCAGCCACATGCTGTTCTGGCCCAGATGCGATTATGTACAGGCCACTGTGACACAGATGGAACATTGCTGTCTCTATAGCGTACAACAACATTCACTCACTAATTCTGATCCTTACTAAATGTAGAAGAAAGTGATCTACAGCAGCCGTAGCATCACTTTAATTGTGCAGCATCTCTCAACTGGAATACCCACTTTAATGACACCCCTCATCACACATTGTAGACGACGCCATGTGCACGATGTAGTCGACCCTCAACACAAATTGTAGACGACGCCATGTACATGATGTAGTCCCCCTTCAACACATAGTAGACGACGCCATGTACACGATGTAGTCGGTCTTCAACACACATTGTAGACGACGCCATGTACACGATGTAGTCGTCCTTCAACACACATTGTAGACGACGCCATGTACACGATGTAGTCGTCCTTCAACACACATTGTAGACGACGACATGTACACGATGTAGTCGTCCTTCAACACACATTGTAGACGACGCCATGTACACGATGTAGTCGTCCTTCAACACACATTGTAGACGACGCCATGTTCACGATGTAGTCGTCCTTCAGCACACCTTGTAGACGACGACATGTACACGATGTAGTCGTCCTTCAACACACATTGTAGACGACGCCATGTACATGATGTAGTCGCCCTTAAGCACACATTGTAGACGACGCCATGAATTGTATAAAAACTATGAAATGATGAAATTGAAAAATCACTGTACTTGTATTTCATCAACAAGGAAGAGCGTGTGTCAAGGATGGCTGGTGACAGTAACAGTCCCAACAAAAGCATTGTTTGGCCCAGGTACAACCCCACTCAATGCCTAACGTCGATCAAGTTACAAATTCACTAGATGCTTTAATTTGGTCTAGTAACAATCCCACTAAATGTATTAGTTTGGTCTAGTTACAATCTCACTAAATGTATTTCTTTTGACCAGTTACAATGTCACTAAATGCATTAATTTTGTCTAGTAACAATCTCACTAAAGGCATTAGTTGGGTCTAGTTACAATCTCACTAAATGTATTAGTATGGTCTAATTACATTCTCAATAAATGCATTAGTTTTGGCCAGTAACAATCCCACTAAATGCATTAATGTAGACGACTAACATTCGTACTAAATGTTTTAGTTCGGTCCAGTATCAATCTCACTAAATGCATTAGTTTGGTTCAGTAAAAATCCCATTAAATACAATACTTCGCACAAATTACAATCAAACAAATTGCATTAGTTTTGTCCAGTAACAATGCTGCTAAATGCATTTGTTTGGTACAGTAACAATAACATTCTCACTAAATGCGATAGTCTGGGCTAGTTACAATCTCTCCACATAAATAAGTTTGCCACAGTAACAATCTCACTAAATGCATTAGTTTTGACCAGTTACAATGTCAAGTATCAAAGTATCAATCTGAATTACTTTGCAAACTCACTTAATCCATTTGGTCGGTCCAGTTACAATCCCATTAAATGCACTTGTCTAGGACAGTAACAATCCCACTAAATGCATTAGTTTCGTTCAATACTGATCCTACTAAATGCATTGGTTTGGGCCAGTAACATTCCCACTAAATGCATTAGTTTGTTTCAGGTACAATCCCAAAAAAGTTTTAGTGCTGGCTTAGTAACAATCTCGCTGAATGCCACTAGTTCGGTCCAGTAGCAATCTCACTAAATGCATTAGTTTGGTTTAGTTAAAATCTCATAAAATGCATTACTTTGCACAAGATGCAATCTAACAAAACGCATGAATTTTGTCCAGTAACAATGCTACTAAATGCATTCGTTTAGGGCTGTAATAATCTAACTAAATGCATTAGTTTGCTACTGTAATAAACCGACCAAATGCATTTGTTTGGTAAAGTTTAATTTGCTCTAGTAACAATCCCACACGATGCATTAGTTTGATCACAATACAATCTCACTAGGTGAGGTGAAATGGGGTTTAACGTCGCTATGCCACTAGACCACGGAGGAGGTCTACAATCTCACTAAATGCATTAGTATGGTCTTATTACATTCTCAATAAATGCATTAGTTTCAGCCAGTAACAATCCCACTAAATGCATTAATAGAGACTAGTAACATTCGTACTAAATGTTTCAGTTCGGTCCAGTATCAATCGCATTAAATGCATTAGTTTGGTTCAGTAAAAATCTCATTAAATGCATTACTTTGCACAAATGACAATCAAACAAAATGCATTAGTTTTGTCCAGTAACAAATCTACTAAATGCATTAGTTTGCCCTAGTAACAAGCCTATTAAATGCATTAGTTCCGGTCCAGGTAGAATCCTTTGAAATCCATTAGTTAGGTTCAGTAAGAATCTCACTCAGCAATATTCCAGCTATATTACGGCGGTCTTAAAATAATCGAGTCTGGACCAGACAATCCAGTGATTGATATCATGAGCATTGATCCACGCAATTGGGATCGATGACATGCATCAAACAAGTCAGTAGACCTGACAACCCGATTCCATTAATCTCCTCTTAAGATAAGTAGAGTCGCCTTTTACAGCAATCGTACCACATGCAGTGGTTTGGTGAAGTAACAATCCCACTAAATGCGTTAGTTTGGGCCGAAGTTTTTTTCCGAAATGACACATGATACATTATAGAGAAGTGCAAAGATTCATTTGTATGTTGAA